AACCACAGCGCTCTGTACGCAAAATCCAACCATTGGGCATCGGTGAGGCCGTACCCGTCTGGCTTCCTCTCGTACACCATCGCTCTTTCCAGGGCTGAACGAGTTGTACTTAATAAAAAGGTTCGTTATAATCTTTACCCTTACTCTTATTTTAAACATGTATATCACAAGGATAATTATAATTAAGATCTACTATTTTAGATCCCTGAGAACAAGCCCCAAACATGTTCGGCGTTTCGGCGCAAGGTGCTTCTTGTGTATCGGTGCAACCACATGAGTACGTGATTTCATATTTTACACACATGATTGATAACTTTGATAGTGTGAAACGAAAGTAAATCGCGGGGGTCGGTTCAGTATATGTGCTTACTTAGATTCCGAGGTAGAGATTGATGGCCCTTTGCCCCTCGCTTCGGCAAACGGCTCGAAGATGCTGGTGCGGATCTCCGATCTTATACCCCGTGGAGGTCATGACCTCTTCCATACCCCAATGATAGAATAAGCACGAAAGAGAACCAAGACCAAGCAATAGCTCGTCAGAATATATTTTCGTCCGGGGTAAAGAACGAACCCTTTCCCTATTCGAGGTACCTAGGTGTGTGTGCTCAACCTTAGAAGGTTTATTAGCATTAGCGTAACCGGACTGTCGGGTCAACGAAAGGGATATGCATGCCCGTGCCGGCATATCCCATGCCGCCTTCCGTAGAAAGGGGCAAAGAATTTGCCGACTTGTAACCCTAAGCCCGGAGCCGGAAGAAAGGGGGAAAATCCTTCCTATATTAATATGCTCTTTTTCTCCCTTAATTTACCTAACAAGATACGGCAACAGGGTCCGTAAGAGAGAATTCGGAGATTCTATAGGAGGATAGCAGGCTGTTAAAGACCAGGCTGTTAAAAGAAAACAGTTAATGCCGTATGCGGGACCCGCAGGAGCCTGGTAATAAACAAATAATGTAGCGAAGAATTATATTTGTCTATTATGTATCGCGGATCGTCTAAAGGGACGGTGATCCACTTGAACTAATCTATAAGTAGGTTAGTCTCATGGCTACTTAATCTGGTATACAATATGCACACAAATCCTAAGTACTCCCTCGATTTGTTGCTATTATGGGACGTCCTTTCCTATCGTAAGCCTCGCTGTTGCTTACATAGTATTTGATATTTAGCTTAGATATAAATAGCCTCATGTAGATTTTCTTTTATTCTTCTTCACTTACTCCCATTGTTCCAATTATCCAAAGCTGCGGCCAAGTTATGGAAATCAACTAAGGCCTGCCGGAGTGACTCCGCCACCCTTTTAATCTCATCCGCGAGATACGCGCCGGCCGCGCTCTTCCTCTGTTCAAATGCTAGTTCCTCTCGAAGCCGCCCGTTTTGCGCAATGGCTTCGGGGAGGCTAAGAATCGACATGTCCTTCTGTAATTGCAGTCTCCACGGCATTGTGTCTATCTTCGCCGAGGACCCTCCGCAACCAGCGATCGCGGCGTCGAGCGGTGTGGGCTTGGCTGGTGTATCATCATTAAGGATAAGATTAATTGATGGTCTCTGGTTTCCCGGCATGTTTGCTGTTGATAAGTATTTGAATGTTTGAGCCGAGCTGCTTCTTAGTTAAGATAGTGTATGAAAGGAGAAAGATGAGCTTCATTTCCCGCATACGGTCCCAGTTTGGTGCCAACTTGGTGCGGCTT